TTTACTCGCCTTAAGCCCACAACTAAGTCATCGGCGAAAGTTTTGGTCAGTCTATGACGTAACCCCATTATACATTACATTAAACAGTACATCCAAAGATAAAAGTTGAACGCAACTGTCACTTGCCAGCTGGAATTGCATAACTTACCGCCAAGCGCTACAAGGTTCTCTAAGACGAGAGTCGAATATCGCTTCACAAAACCAATGAAATCGATTTACATCGTTGTAGTGCCTGCGGAGAACCGGGAGCTTACTTTCAGTTTTATCAGCGAACGCACATTATTCTTGTACATTACGGTGAGCGTATTTGGTTCTGCTGTAGTATCGCAGGGGAAGTCCTTTCAGATATGGGTGATGTTATTACTGTGTTTAAATAAACGCCATGCCACGGAAACGTGGAGTCGAGATGTAGCCCCATACATCATTAACTTCTGCACCACTTAAATTTTAAATTTTCAGCGTCACGAGCAGACCGTTTTCCATTTGGGGAAACAGATGAAGATGAGTTTGTGGGAGTCTGGGTGAGCCACGCGGTGGCGAAGACAACCCTTGCCTCTGTCCGGGTATCGAACGCTAGTCGTCTGACTCGCAGCCAGTCACTGTACTGACTGAAGGTCAAAGTATCGTTATCTTTGGCTTTTATTAACTTCGTATTAAAAGTGTCGACTTTGGAAGGATGGATTACCGATTTGAGTGTAGTTCAGGTAGAGGCCGAGGCTAGAGGCGTTGTTTGACATCAACGATGCCCGGAATGAGAACGCGTTATGGGCTCGTCGTGTCCGCCCATTTGTCCGGTCGATTATATCTCGAGAACCACTGGACGGAGTTGGATGAAATTTGATATGGAACTTGTGTCATCCTGTACGACCTCAAAATCGTACTCTTGAATATCCCACGAGCGGTGATGATTAAATTATGGATGAGCAGTGATGCGATCTAGTGGAAAAAGTGGGAGCTGTTGAACAGGGAGGATTTAATACCTCTAAATGCACGTTTGCAAAGAACGCATGAGGATATTGTGTGTTTTCCGGCACGAAATGTACTTCCCGAGCTTGGAAAAAGGATGCTGGCGAAGAATGGCACGCCTTACCACCCGTGTGTCGCTTTCTCTCAACTTCCCGTCTCTGCCGCAATGAGATCGATATGGCAACGAGGAACTAGCTCCCTGATATTCCTCCGCGTGACCCTGACCTACCACCGCGGATGGTCGCTTGGACCTGCCGCTGCTGCATCCACCTGTTTTCTTCCCGGCTCCGGTCCTCCGGCATCTTCATTCTAGTTTAAAAAGTCTTGTCTTTGCTGTTGAAAGATTCGCGTTACGAAATCTCGCTCATACGAACTTTCATAATGAAGTGTCATAATCCTTCTCCGTCTGGCTCGTCATCCGAACGAGAAGTCGCTAATGTCAAATCTTCTGACAGTTTCGTACAGTGGATTCCGGTTAATCGGACAGCCGCTTAATTGGGCTAAAGTGTTCTAGTAGCGATGTTTCCCGATTAACCGGGACCCCGCTGTATTTGAAGAAGCCCTTCCATGTCCCCCGCCCCTGTCAGCATCCTTCTCTCCGCGCATCCTTTACTGCCATCGGATTATTGTCCTCCCCTCGACACCCCGGCTGTACTTGAATGGACCGTTCTCGGCTAAAGGTCACGCCGGTGCGCGATGGTAATGTGGCAGCGTTTTGTCCTGCCACAAGGGACGTTCCACCAGGTGTCTGTCAGTCACAACAGTGCAGAATTGATTTGTGCTTAACAAAGGCTTTGATTTGTATTTCCTCCAAGGCACGACTTGAAATAGTCTGCATGTATGTGGGAGACAGGGATCCGAGTCAGAAGGGAAACGAATTGTCTGTCTTCTCCTCCCTCCAGTTGGTACTTTATTGAATCCCTTAGCGACGATGTTGAAGGACCGCGAACCGAATTTGCATTGATTGTAAGTTGGTGTTTCTCCCTTCCTGTCTGTCCACCTCTCAAACCCGTCACTTTATCGAATATTCATTCGCTCTTACCTCACGACGGATATGTCACTTTATTCACAAAGAATTCTGTTGGTTTCTGGCAGAATAAAACTGGTGTGAGCCATCAGATAGTCTCGTCTTTTAAGGTTCCGTTTATCGTATGAATTGTTAGACAAGCAAAGAATTTATAATACTTATTGTTTAAACCACGTAACTTGCAAATACATGTGGACAATCACAGGAGATTATTCATCGTCGGAGTTTATTATTACTCATTATAGTAGTAGACACTATGAGCCGGGATAGCTCAGTCAGTATAGTGACTAGCTACGGGCTGGACGGCCGGGGTTCGATCCCCGACGGGGGCAGAGGATTTTTCCTCTAGTCTCTGCGTCCAGACCGCCTCTGGGGCCCACCCAGCCTCAGCCTCCTCTACAATGGGTACCGGGGTCCTTACCCGGGGGTAAAGCCGGCCGGGGCGTGACGCTGACCACTCACCCCCATCTAGTGCCGAGGTCAAGGAAGAGAGGAGCTATACCTCCACTCCCCCCAAGCGCCTACATGGCGTATAGTGGGACAAACTTTACTTTACTTTTAGTAGTAGACACTTCGTGGTAATTTAGAATACAGTATCAGAATGTGTCCGCGTTTTAAACAGTGGAGAATGTTACAAGTAATAAGATTCATTTTTATCTCTTTTGCCTTTGTTCAATCTCTTCGTATTTATATAGCTCGTTCCTTCTTATTTATTTTTCCTTCCAACTTCTTCGTTCGGCTCGCCCCGTAACTACTTTTAACACCTTAAATCTTTGAAACAAAAATAAGTCCGAAGCCCATACTTTAAATCCATTATCGTATTCATTTGTTTTCTTTCTTCCAAGTGTTATATTTTCCTTGCCGACGTCACATTTTCTTTTACGAACGCTGTTGACGTGAAGACTGGCTGCGATTCATTTTTATCTCTTTTGCCTTTGTTCAATCTCTTCGTATTTATATAGCTCGTTCCTTCTTATTTATTTTTCCTTCCAACTTCTTCGTTCGGCTCGCCCCGTAACTACTTTTAACACCTTAAATCTTTGAAACAAAAATAAGTCCGAAGCCCATACTTTAAATCCATTATCGTATTCATTTGTTTTCTTTCTTCAAAGTGTTATATTTTCCTTGCCGAAGTCACTTTCTTTTTACGAACGTTGTTGACGTGAAGACTGGCTGGTTGTTTGGGTAGCAATAGTAATCTGAGTTAGAGGTCAGATGTCTCTGAATCGCTTTGCACCGAGAGGCTGCAACTTCTGAGTAGAATATGAATGTAGCCCCCCAGGACGTCCATTTTCTGGTGGCCTTGGCAGTGTCCCGGTCTGTGTCTTGCCAAGATGACTGGGGTAGACGAATGTTAAAAATAGGTTTAGTTGAAATCAAGCGAGGGCTGAGTGACAGAACAAAGACGGAACCCATTTCGACTTTTATTGGAAATTTTGGTCTTACGGTTTTAACCGCCGTGTGGACTTTCAGATAGGTACCAGCGTTTCGGTGGAACATTCTGCTTCCATCTTCAAAGCTAATGCCAACTTCGACATCTTAACCGCCGTGTGGACTTTCAGATAGGTACCAGCGTTTCGGTGGAACATTCTGCTTCCATCTTCAAAGCTAATGCCAACTTCGACATCTTAACCGCCGTGTGGACTTTCAGATAGGTACCAGCGTTTCGGTGGAACATTCTGCTTCCATCTTCAAAGCTAATGCCAACTTCGACATCTTAACCGCCGTGTGGACTTTCAGATAGGTACCAGCGTTTCGGTGGAACATTCTGCTTCCATCTTCAAAGCTAATGCCAACTTCGACATCTTAACCGCCGTGTGGACTTTCAGATAGGTACCAGCGTTTCGGTGGAACATTCTGCTTCCATCTTCAAAGCTAATGCCAACTTCGACATCTTAACCGCCGTGTGGACTTTCAGATAGGTACCAGCGTTTCGGTGGAACATTCTGGGGGGGGGGGGGGGGGGGGTTACATTAAATCCGCGAATGGTTCGATGTTTTACAGTACTTTTATTCTGTAACACGGAGCTAAGTTGTGAATCTCGTTTTTCGCGTTGCGCATTGCAACTGTCACCCTATTTGCGTGTTTTATTTTCAGTTGACGATGGCCAGATCATTTAGCAGCGTTACCGCAGTGCAAATTAAAGTTTCATTAACAACAAAATTAAAATACAGCAGAGTCCCGATTATCGGACCTAAGGACGGCTAGACAAAGATATGGCACCCGCGAAAGGCCTTCATAGATAATGGTACCATTTGCCATATCGATTTGTCGTTCGCCCATTTAGGATTTGAGGTTTTCACGGCTGTTATAACGAAGATGAGACTGCCTTCTGGGTTGTAGTACCGTAGAAGTACGTACCACCTGCTTCATGAAGGCGGTCCAATCAAGGCGACGAGTATTTACCGCTGAAATATACGTAAATTTCAACCAGACTAAACGACGCTACAACCCAGAGGACAGTCACCTTTCCTGTTAGTCCGTAGTTTGTGGATTATATACGCCGATTCTTTTCGTTATTAAAATAGTAGTTTAGAATCCTAGCATCGCGATGAACCAGCGGCTTGGAATGAAGTTTAGGATTTAAAACAGTACATTTTGGCTACATTGATGGCTAGACAGATGGTTATTTAGACAGATGCACATGGTGAATGTTACGGGATTTCAATTTCCGGTGAATCAAGCGACTAAGAGCCAGTTGCTGGTTTGATTGTACACAGCCTTTGTAGAAACGTTGTAATGGAGTACAGTAACGTTCAGAAATGAAGACATGGGGGGGGGGGCAATGTGTAAAAATGAAGGAATGGACGAATTAGTAACAGCAGCTGTGACACGAAGTGAAGACCGATGTTCTCAGGTTAGAGTATACAATGGTTGTGCGGGGACGCAAGCTGTTAGACCTGTGTTGCACGCAGTGTGGGTTCAGCATATGCGCATTGCCATCTCTTCTGATGACACTCGATTGCCTGCTACTTTCCTTATCTTACATTTACCGACAATTGCAGTTGTTAATTTAGATTGTGAGTTCATTCAGGACGGTCGAGGTTGTATTCAGTTGTGTTGGAGCAAATTGGAGCTGGCTTCGTTGGTGAGTGCGTCGTTCACAGGCCGGCACCCGCTCATACGTCACGTCGTTTCTCTGTCTTACGCATCCCAAATGTCCTGACGTACTGCGGGCTGAAGTAATTTTTGAAGATATGAAGTGCAGAAAGCTGTATTGGTAGCGAAACACAACTGTGTCATGTGATTTCATATCAGGGCTATACAGCCTTGATGATGGAGACTGAAGAACGTCGATCGGTTATACCACCAGACTTCACGTTGCGACGTCCCAGAAGAACGGGTCCATTTGATTCTGAACCGTGTGGTAGCAAGCGTTCCCCGAATTCTGTTTTCCCTCGTGTATGCTATTTTGACTCGTAAGCCAGTTCCCAGATGTTTTAACGTTGACACGTTGTTGACAGTAACTGTAAATACAGTTTCGCCAGGACGTGTTACAAGTAGCGTAGTCAGGGAGAACGCTTGTTTTATGCCAGGCCCCCCATCTAGGCTATCGCCCAAGTCCCGCAGATTCTGTTGAAAGCGACGGCTGTGATCAAGCACTTGGTGTTCGATGTTACACCAAGTAGCGTCGTTTCGATAAGAATAGCTCGCGGCCGGCGGCGAGTCGGGTGATTGCGTTTGGGGAGGAAGAATTCCGCTCAACTCTCCTCTACCGTCCGTCGCTCCGTTTTTGATATTCTCATTCATGTGCAGAACAGTGCCAGAGGGCGTGTACGCATTCATCCACCCGAAGTTTGGTAGGGGAACTGAAAGGTGCTGCAAGTCACGGCCCGACAAGAAGGACGTTGATGTCAATGATCGGATGAACCTCTTCGCATACCACCAGCAACTGCATAGCGAGGAAGTTGATCTTCACCAGATATCAAGATGATCAAATCAAGTATTGTTACATTGGCGGGTCATGTATCAAGATTGGGAGAAATTCGAAATGCGCACAGAATTTTAGATGAAAAATATGACGGGCCGATCCCTCATCCAGGGAGTCTTAAAAATGTTTTGAAATGATTAATACTTCAACAAGTTTATTATGAATTGCCTGGATAGCCTTGTTTACAAAGAAATGGTTGCTGCAACACGTAGGGATTGTTTGTGGGACAGTGATTTTAATTTATCTGATACGTATTAATGTAGAATGCAGAGTCAATTGATGAATTAGAATACAGTAATGTAGCAAATCTTGTTAGCTACACAAATCTTGATAAATGAACAGGAACAAATGCATTCGAGTTATGTATGAGCTGCGGTGTTCGTTACCTCCTTGTTTCTTCAATGACTGTCGTTTGGTGCAATGGTCAGTGTCCCACTGGATTGTGTTTTCACGGATGATGCGACGGCTAACGGCGACTTCGCGTTCATCAGAAAGGCATGAAGGCTCTGGGCTTAGTGCATATGTTTCACAAGCGGTGGTGGACAGGAGTTATATTATACCCGGTGCTGTGTAATAGGTGATAAGTGTATGTGATCGGTTTTGCTATGGCAGCAATGACCGTTTCCGGTGGTATTGGTGCTGCGTTGTGCCGCTGGAAGAGGAAGATTCTCGCGCTGCACACGGCGAACGAGGAGGAACAAGGATTATCAGGTACTGTCTTCACCAGGGTTTCATTTTTGGCTCCTGGGCTTTGAAAGCACTTCCAGAGAACACGTGCAGTCCGCCCTTGAAGCGCGTAGCTCCTCTGAATAATATTTATGAATCGAGTCCGTACCGCGAAGAAAACACAGCGCTTCACCATCGCAAAGATCGACTGGTCAGTGATGGTTAAGTAAGTAATCACTTTTTAAGGTTCTAATTGCGAAAAACTCTTTGATTTACCATTGCCATTTCAAGTAACTAACTCCGAGAAGCTAACAGTAGCTCAAATGGAGAATGAATTATCTTTTTTGTGGTTACCGAAGGTCTATTAACGGGTTCACAACAACCTTCCACTGATTCTTATCTTAAGTACGTATATTACTCCACGTTGGTGTAATTATTACATGTTAAATATCTTTCCCGATGGAATTAAAATGGCTGCTTCCAAAAAAAAAAAGCATTGTGTAACAGATACAAAGATATATCTGTCGCCATAGTAACGGTGGGCAGACGACAAAACAGCTGATCGAAATCTAACAGCAGATGCCACACTCTACTAACTGCTGGCCTGTCACTTTGGAAGGGGGTTACAACTGAGATGCTGGTCGCAGTAAACCAGTGTGTCATACCGCTGTGATAGCCTGCAGTTGGGGAGCGAAGTTTTTCAGTAGTGATGTGCTGATTTCTGGTCAGTCCTTAAGTGGGTCAGGGTAAAACACCCGATCCTTGTACCGCTCGCGAGAGACGGATGGCCGGCCAACAGAGAGGAGCCTTATCGCTTAAGAAGGTCAGTTGGCAAAGGAAACGCACTTAATGCAGGGACAAGGTTATACACTTCTTTTCTGTGCTCTGGTATTGAGATCAGTCAGAGGGTCCCAACAGATAATTTATCTTCTTCCGTCGAGGACGGAAGAAGATAAATTGGCTTTCGAAACGTGATTTTATAGTCCAGACAAAGTCCAGAAGAGAAATTTAAGACAGCATAACGCACCGACACCGCCACGGTGGTCTAGCGGTTAGAACGCTGGCCTTGTAATCCTGGGGTCTCGGGTTCGATTCCCGGCGGTGCCCGAATTTATAACTTGTGTTGGGCAAGGCCGTGGTCTAGGCAACACGGAGTTTTCCTCCGGGGGCTTCCCCGGTTTCTCCGTGGCATCCCA